AATCGTTATTACTATAATAATACTACTAATTAATTATTATGTATACTTTTCTCAATCGTAACCCCTAACATTTAATAGCAATACTTATTAAATGTTACAAAATATTATCATTATTAATACATATATTTTGGATCAAATTTGAAAATTGTTTCAAAATTATGATTTCAAATCATATTATCAAAATCCAAAACTAATGACGATAGTAATGGTATAGTTCATTGATCCATCAGTTCAAAAAATTTATAATCGTAATTACTATAACAATTCTAATAATTATTACATAACAGTTAAATATAATCAAATTTCTTAATCGTAACCATATAACATTTAATAATAGTAATAATTAAATGTCACTTAATATCATCATTATTACCATAAAAGTTTAAAATAAGCAAATTAGGAATTTCAAAATATGATTCTTATAATCAAAATCATTATGACAAGGTTGAAAAAAATGCAATATCTAATTGCCATATAAATAAATATTTTTTCAAAACTGTGATACAATACTCATATTCCTTATTTAAAAATATTATCAAATTATACAAAATTACAATGAATAGTCATAATAATCACGTAATATTATACCAATTAAAAGATTCCAAATGAAAAAGTAGTAATAACAAATGTTAATATAAGAAATTAGATGTAATTACCATTATATTAATAGATTTCAAATGAAAAAGTAGTAATAACAAATGTTAATATAAGAAATTAGATGTAATTACCATTACCATTATTATTATATTAATAATAGGGAGTAATTATTAATTATTTGAATAATGGTAAAAATAGCCGCTGCAATGAATGAGATGTCAACTAACCATCCCAAAATACCAATATAATAATATTCCAAAAGTGCAATAAGCTGATGGGTTTAATTAATCCGGGGTAGCCCGAATTACTAAACCCGATTAAAAACGTAAATAGGAAATAGATTAATAAAATGATGTCGTAAGGTCGCTGGGATTGTATATTATACTACATAACGCTTAGCAAGCTATTACAAAGATACTTTTAGGACAAGAATATTGAAGGTGTCTTAATGAGACAAATTGGAGGGTTTTTTTTATACAAGCCAACCCCCCCCCCTCCCCCTAAAATGGCGGGTCGGTTGGATATCCGCGTTGACCGCGCCCGGGTAAGACCGGGTCAACCGTGCCGAGCTCTTCTGGCCCAGAGCTGGATTTTGGGCTGTGCAAGCTGGGCTACAGCAAGAGCCCCAAATATTAGAAGGCCCAATATTTAATTTTTACCTAGTTAGTTTAGAAATAAAAATTAAATAAAAGTTTTCTATTAAATTTAAAAGGTTCCATGGAGAAATGGTAGCTATTACAAAGATACTTTTAGGACAAGAATATTGAAGGCGTCTTAATGAGACAAAGTGGAGGGTTTTTTATACAAACCAACCCCCCCCCCCCCTCCCCCTAAAATGGCGGGTCGGTTGGATCTCCGCGTTGACCGCGCCCGGGTAAGACCGGGTCAATCGTGCCGAGCTCCTTTGGCCCAGAGCTGGATTTTGGGCTGTGCAAGCTGGGCTACAGCAAGAGCCCCAAATATTAGAAGGCCCAATATTTTATTTTTACCTAGTTAGTTTAGAAATAAAAATTAAATAAAAGTTTTCTATTAAATTTAAAAGGTTCCATGGAGAAATGGTAGGACTACTACTACTACTACTGCTACTAATACTACTGCTACTACTACTACTGCTACTACTACTGCTACTACTACTGCTACTACTACTACTATTGTTACTATTACTACTGCTACTACTACTACTACTGCTACTACTCCTACTACTACTACTGCTACTCCTACTACTACTGCTGCTACTACTGCTGCTACTGCTGCTACTACTGCTACTGCTGCTGCTACTGCTACTACTGCTACTGCTACTACTGCTACTGCTCCTACTGCTGCTACTGCTACTTCTACTACTCCTACTTAGGGCTGTCAAAGTGGGTCAAAATCCGTGGGTTGGCCCGCACCCGCCCCACAGTGGGGCGGGTTAGGGCCACCAAAAAATAGGCCCGTGAAAACGCGGGCCTAACGGGCTTAGCCCGTGGAGGGCCATAGCCCGCGCGGGTAAACCCGCGCGGGTTGCGGGCCTACCCGCGGGCCAAGCCCTTTAAAAAAATATCTATATATTATATATATATATATATATATATATATATATATATATATATATATATATAAATTATAAAATATAATGTAACAGTTATAACTGCTTAAGACTAAAGAAAAGAGGTAAAACCTAAATTCTTAATCCTAATCCTAATTGATTGCTGTTTACTGTCTCTCTCTATATATAATATAATATAATTGCTTAAGACTAAAGAAAAAAAATTCCTAATCCACTACTGTTTACTGTCTCTCCGCAATCTCCGGTCTCGCCTCTGTCCCTGCGACTCTGCCTACGAAAAAACAGCGCCACCACCGCTTCCCGTGCCTATGAACGAACATCACCACCACCGCGCAGCCGCCCGTCTCACATGAAGTCGTCACACCCAAATTTCAAGATGAAAAACGAGCACATTAATTGCACGCAGCCTTTGGTCATTTGAACTGTGCAGTGCGCCAACTAGGGCACATTGTTGTGGCCACGTGAACTGTTAAGAAGATTTTATAATTAGTTTTATTAATTAATTAGGATAATTATCTTGAAATAATTTTAGATTTCACCAACCAAAATGTAACCCATTAGGGGATGCAAATATTTCAATCTGGCAGAATAAAATTGCAAAAAGAAGAAAAGAAAAACAAAAAGAAAAGAGAGATTATAAATATAATGTTACAGAATAAGTGAATAACATAAGATGTTGTCGCATTACCTTAATCTTAGTGTGTCTTGCGCCTCTTGCTTGCATTATCATCGTCATTCATGTCACCCTTCTCCAGTTCCCTTACGTACTAAGAAATTCTTGACTGTTTGCATTCTTATATTACTCAGATGATGTCGTCACACCCAAATTTTAAGATGCCAAAAGAGCACATGAATTGCACGCAGCCTTTGATCATTTGAACTGTGTAGTGCGCCGGAATAAGTGAATAACATAAGATGTTGTCGCATTACCTTAATCTTAGTGTGTCTTGCGCCTCTTGCTTGCATTATCATCGTCATTCATGTCACCCTTCTCCAGTTCCCTTACGTACTAAGAAATTCTTGACTGTTTGCATTCTTATATTACTCAGATGATGTCGTCACACCCAAATTTTAAGATGCCAAAAGAGCACATGAATTGCACGCAGCCTTTGATCATTTGAATTGTGTAGTGCGCCGGAATAAGTGAATAACTTAAGATGTTGTCGCATTACCTTAATCTTAGTGTGTCTTGCGCCTCTTACTTGCGTTATCATCGTCATTCATGTCACCTTTCTCCAGTTCCCTTACGTACTATGAAATTCTCGACTGTTTGTATTCCTATATTACTCATATGAAGTCGTCACACCCAAATTTCAAGATGCCAAACGAGCACATGAATTGCACGCAGCCTTTGGTTATTTGAACTGTGCAGTGCGCCAGAATAAGTGAATAACATAAGATGTTGTCGCATTACCTTAATCTTAGTGTCTTGCGCCTCTTGCTTGCATTATCATCGTCATTCATGTCACCCTTCTCCAGTTCCCTTACGTACTTAGAAATTTTCGACTGTTTGCATTCCTATATTACTCACATGAAGTCGTCACACCCAAATTTCAAGATGCCAAACGAGCACATGAATTGCACTCAGCCTTTGGTCATTTGAACTGTGTTGTGCGCTGGTATAAGTGAATAACATAAGATGTTGTCACATTACCTTAATCTTAGTGTGTCTTGCGCCCCTTGCTTGCATTATCATCATCATTCATATCACCCTTCTCCAGTTCCCTTACGTTCTAATAAATTCTCGACTGTTTGCATCCCTATATTACTCACATGAAGTCGTCACACCCAAGTTTCAAGATACCAAACGAGCACATGAATTGCACACAACCTTTGGTCATTTGAATTCTGTAGTGCGCCAACTAGGGCACATTGTTATGGCCACGTGAACTGTTAAGAATATTTCATAATTAGTTTTATTAATTAACTAGGATGATTATCTTGAAATTATTTTAGATTTCACCTACCAAAATGTAACCCATTATAGGATGCAAATATTTCAATCTGGCAGAATAAAATTACAAAAAGAAGATAAAAAAATAAAATGAAAAGAGAGATTATAAATATAATATTACAGAATAAGTGAATAACATAAGATGTTGTTGCATTACCTTAATTAATCTTAGTGTGTCTTGCGCCTCCTGCTTGCATTATCATCGTCATTCATGTCACCCTTCTTCAGTTCCCTTACGTACCAAGATGGCAAGAAATTCTAGACTGTTTGTGTTCCTATATTACTCACATGAAGTCGTCACACCCAAATTTCAATATACCAAACAAGCACATGAATTGCACGCAGCTTTTGGTCATTTGAACTGTGCAGAACGTGCTCCAACTAGGGCACATAGTTATGATTAGAGAAGTCTCCTCAGATAGATTAACACAACAATAGGATTACAGAGTATATCTTGAATGAAACTCTAACTAATCCTAACTAATAGAATAAACTAAGTCAGCTATTCTAATACCACACAAAATGTAACTATACAATATAAAATAGTAATAACAAATAATAGTCACAGTTACACACCCCCTCAAGCACAAGGTTGGAGAGGGACAACATTGAACTTGTTTCGTAAAGCAGCAAACCTCGGCGCTATTAGTGGTTTGGTGAAGATATCTGCTAACTGATCCGTAGTAGACACGTAGTTGACCACGAAGTCCCCTGAAGCCACCTTGTCACGGACGAAGTGATAGTCGATCTCTACGTGTTTGGTGCTGGCATGAAAAATAGGATTAACACACAGGTAAGTCGCCCCAAGATTGTCACACCACAGCGTTGTAGGTTGTCTAGAGTGTAACCCGAGCTCCCAAAGCAAAGACACCACCCAGGTAACTTCACCGGATACATCAGCTAAAGCCTTATATTCTGCCTCGGTGGAGGAACGAGTGATGTTACGTTGTTTCTTGGAGACCAAGAGATGAGATTAGTCCCCAGGTAGACAGCAAACCCACTAGTATTCTTTCTATCAACTGGACAGCCAGCCCAGTCTGAGTCGGAAAAGGCATGAATGCTGGTCGATGAAGATGGAGAGAGGCGAAGTCCATAGTCCAGAGTCCCCTTGATGTAGCGGAGCACACGTTTCACAAGGGCCCAATGTTCTACTGTTGGCGAGTGCATGAACTGACACAGGCGATTGACTGCATAGGCGAGGTCCGACCTAGTAATAGTCAAGTACTGCAAGGCTCCTACAATCCGCCGATATTGGGTTGGATTCTTGAACAGTTCGTCAGATGGTGTTACTGCTTTAGTAACAGCCGCAGGCGTGGTAAGGGGCTTGCAATCTACCATACCCGAACGTCCTAGGAGATCCGTCATATAGCGACGCTAGGAGAGAATAAAGCCTTCGCTTGATGTAACTGTTTCGATACCCAAGAAGAAACTGGGAGACCCAAGGTCCCGTATCTTGAACGTAGTAGAAAGCCGCTGCAGGAGTGTGGCTACTAGCTTGGCGTCATTGCCCATCATTATTATATCATCAACGTAGACCAACATGAATACTCGAGAGTCCCCTGTAGTGTAATAAAAAAGAGAGATGTCCGTTTTGGATGATTTAAAACCTGCAGACAACAAGACGTCGTGAAGTCGCTTGAACCAAGCCCGAGGAGCCTGTTTCAAGCCATAAAGAGATCGCTGGAGGTGACAAACATGCCCAGGTGTGGTGGGATCTTCGTACCCCGGGGGTTGCTTCATGTATACAGTTTCCGCCAAATGACCATTCAGGAAGGCATTGTGAACGTCTAACTGCCGAAGAGTCCACCTGTTGGAAACAACTAAAGAAAATAACATCCGAACCGTGGTTGGTTTGACCACGGGGCTAAAGGTATCAAAGAAATCTTCACCTGCTACCTGATTGAACCCCTTGGCAACCAGTCGGGCCTTGTAACTCTCGATAGAGCCATCGGCAGTGTGTTTGGTGCGGAACACCCATTTGCACCCAATGATGTTCATGTGAGGTTAAAGAGGGACCAACCGCCAGGTATTGTTATGCAGTAGTGCATTAAATTCCTGGACCATAGCCTCACGCCAGTGTGCGTGTCCCACAGCTTGGGAGTAACATGTTGGGTCCGCAATTGCGTTTAACGCATGAAACGGTTCATCTCTGCCCTTTGTCAGGTGACGTAGGTGCATGACATGGTCCCGACTCTGAGGCTGAGCACGAGGCTTACGCGACTTTGCCAGGGCCGTGTGCGTTATAGCCAACTGTGTTGGCTCACGGGCAAGAGGTATCGGTTCAGTGCCGGAGGGAGCCTGTAACACCCCTAAAATTTTAAACTTTCAAGCTTTATGAAATAAAGGTAATATTATCATTAAATCCCAAAACAGAGCATACTAATCATAAGTGTTTGGGTGCTATGCCACATCTGAGCTGGAGAACTCAGATGCACAGGCTAACTATCTAATTATCCTCAAACAACGTTATTACATCATTATGGCACACAGGCCAATAGGAAACTAACTATCTAAGCCTCGGGTCCTCTAGCGCGCTCCGAAGCAAATCATCTGTGCCTGAAAGCCAAATATATCTGTGCAGCGAATAATGCTGGTAACCCACTCCAACGCGTTAAAATACAATATAGGTGTATATATATATATATATATATATATATATATATATATATATATATATATATATATATATATATATATATATAGGGAAACCATTTTGAAGCCGGAAGATATATACTTAGGAGACTCTAGTTTTAAAACCGAGAATAGACTCAACAAGTAGGGACAAACACATTCAACAGATATAATCACGCATATAAAGATACTAGCATATATCCTAAGGTCACACGATTATTTCACATCATTCATATCATTATTCAATCATTATCTCAACACATAAGCACACTTTGGTGGCGCCACAGGACCAATCGCATGCCCATACATGAGGGTCAGTGCATATAGCGCTAACACGGCCCCGCAGCACCCTGCCTCGTATCGCAATACGAAGGGGTTGATCGCAACCAACTGATGAACCGCAACTCATCATAACGTTTGATCGCAATCAAACAGTGGACCGCAGCCCAAAAAGTGTATTTCTGATAGCAACCAGATTATGAACCGCAGCTCATGTATAACGTTTGATCGCAACCAAACGGTGGACCGCAGCCCTATATAATATTTGTATACCTGACCGATCGCAACCGGCCTCAACCCATCCAACTGCCCGTATAGCCAATTTGATCGCAACCAAATTGGGGTATCATGCACACATAACACATAGCCAAGCACATGCAACCCACATTAGCACATTGGGAAGGGGGAGAAAACGTATAAATAAACTTATGCGTGGTTATCCACATACTAGGAATATTCCTAAGGGGTTCATACATCTTTCACCTAGGCCAACGGGATACCAATTCAACTAGCATGCAATACACAAGACTCTTTTATCCTACGAATGGTACGCGAAACATCAAACTAGACTCAGGCACGACAAACGGGGTCCGTTGGGACACCTCGGGGGTCAGGGAAACATCAAACGGGGAAGACCACCATCCCACATTGGGAGAAACCAGCGGGTGGCCGGCAGGTAGAGGACCACCTGCCGGCTGCCCGCCGCCGGCTGCCCGCCGCCGGCAAACTGCTGGCCAGTGGGTGCCCAGCGGGCAGTCGGCTGCCTGCTGCCGGCGACGCCCTTTAGGGGCAGCGGGTAGGTGGCGGGTTCCCCTATCCCCACTGACTCTTTTGCAATACTTTGGTCCCGGGATCTTTCGTGGAATCCAAAACCATGTTTAGACACTTTTAAACACAAATGATGACACCATGTAGTCAAATAATGGATCAAAACCAAGAATCACATTTAAATACATCCTAACATGACTTCTAAACATAATTAACACCCGATCATGCGAAATCCCACCCAAATATACCAAGAATATCATAATATGACACGATTTAACCTAGGGCTCTAATCATAATTAAATCACAAAATCATATCTTTAGCTTTAAAATCAAGAACATCAAGATTTATCAAGAACAACACACAATTATCAAGATCCTCTTATAATCATCAAGATTATCAAGATCAACACATAAGATCATCTCATCAACATCAAGATCATATCGTAATCATCATAAAAGATTTATCAAGACACAAGCATAGAATAAGGAGCCAAAGAAGAAGATTATAGCAAGGAAAATAGGTTTTGTTGAGACATGGGTTACCTCTTAGCCTTAATTTAGAATCCTTGGCTATAAAGGTTCTTTCTCTAAGATCTCCTTTTCTTGATTTCTCCTAGGGTAATTCTTGGGAATTCTTGTGTGGTGAAAGTTATTGTGGTGTGAATTCTAGGTGCCTCCTATGTCCTTATATATATCTAAGAGTCCTAATTAGGATCTGAAAGGTATGTGTTTACTAATTCTATTTTTTATAGGACTAAGGGTTTGGTTTAGGGATAAGGGTCCATGGTCTATGGTGGACCCTTCCTAATTAATTAAGGGAATTTAATTCTCTTTTAAGGGTAAGTAATTAAATAATTAGTTTGGGTTAGAGGCCGTAACACGGGGTGTTACAGAGCCGGTGATGGAACCAGAGTTGGTGCTGTAGTAGGACCCGGTGGTATGATTGGTGCAGTTGCCCAAGGCAAAGCCGGTGATGGAGGTACCTGTTACGAGAAACCTGTGGAAAAGGGAAACACAGATTCGTCAAAGTGGACATGACGACAGATGTAGGTTTTTCCACTAGTCAGATCAGTGCATCGGTATCCCCTAAAGGAGGCTGGGTAACCTAGGAAGACGCACGGGGTGGAGCGGTATTCAATCTTGTGCCAATTATACGGTCGTAGATATGGGTAACACCGATACCCGAAGACGCGAAGGAAAGTGTAAGGTGGAGTGACTTTGAATAGGCGAGTGTATGGACTTTCATAGTTTGTGGCGGATGAGGGTAAGTAATTGATTAGAGCGGTGGCTGTTTCAAAAGCGTAGTCCCAGTATTGATGGGGTACTTTGCCTTCGGCGAGTTTAGCCAGGCCTGTTTCGACAATATGTCTATTGCGCCGCTCTACTCGGCCATTTTGTTTGTGTGTATAGGCACAAGATTGCCGATGATTTATGCCTAGAGATTGAAATATAGTGTGTAACTTGCGGTACTCACCCCCTAAATCAGACTGAATTAACTTGATAGAACGCGCAAACTGGCGCTCTACCAATACACGAAACGACTCAAAAACTTTATATATGTCTGATTTTACCCGTAATGGATAAAACCAACAAAATCTGGAGTAATCATCAACAAATAAACAAAAGTAGCGAAAACCACTAAGCTACAATACAGGGGAAGGCCCCCAAATATCAGTAAATATCAAGTTTAATACATTTTGACTAGAATGTGGTACGCTATCTAATTTGAATCGGGACGACTTTCCAAGATGGCACGATGTGCAGGACTCGAGAGATTCAACTTTATTGGGCGTGACGGGACAGTTTCGTAGGATTTTATTTAGAACTTGTTTGTGCGGGTGACCAAGCTGGCGGTGCCAAATAGCGGGAGTGGCTCGGGAACTGACGAACGCAAAATTAGACTGTAACACCGGGAGTTTGTACAACCCGCCTGAAGTGGGACCTCTAAGCAGAACCGCTTTGGTTGTGGAGTCCTTCACAATAAAACAGTTATCATGAAATTAAAAAAAAAAACATTGTTATCAACGGTGAACTTATGAACAGATAGTAAATAGACGGAAAGACTCGGGACATGTAGAATATCATTTAAACACAAATACTTAGATAAAGACGGGATTGATGCACGATCGATTCGCAAAATAGCCAAACCTGCGCCATTACCCACACGGAGAACGTCCGGACCGCCGTACTCATCCGATTGACCCATCATGTTAGCATTAGGGATGGCGTGCGCGGTGGCTCCGGTATCCGGATACCACCCATCGGCCGGAATTAGTGCCGGGGCCGCCGAAATCTCGCCGGAAACCGCGACATGTGCTTGAGCCAGAGGTTGCGTTGTGTATCTCTTGTAGCAATACACAGCCGAGTGCCCGTGAGACCTACATATCTGACACCTCGGCGCTCCTCGGCCACCATGATTGTAGCAAAAATAAGATGTGAGCTCGGGTGTGAAATATTGTCCTCAGGGGATTGGGGGATATGGCACGCAATATGCAATCACAATAAACTAGGCACTAGCATAAGGAAATCAACAAGAAGCTAAGCAAACTACAAGTTTAAGGAAATGATAAGACTAACACATATACACAAAGATAAACACAAAATAAAGAAATAGGACTCAAGCTAGGGAGCATTATCATCTAGATGCTTTAACAACCTAAAGGATTAGGGAGAACAAGTAACCAAGG